GAACTTACACAGAAAAGGTCTAAATAGCTCATTCATTGTGCTTTGAAATGTAGACAGGGCATTACAAAGTCCAAAAGGCATCACAATGAACTCATAATGTCCTTCATGAGTTCAAAAAGCAGTTTTATGACTTTCACTTGATGCTATGCATATTTGGTGGTAACTAGAACGCAAATCTAACTTCAAAAACCAACAAGCACTAAATAATTCATCTAGTAATACATCTATCGTTGGAATTGGAAAGCAATCCTTGTTGGTTAGGGAGTTTAGAGCTTGATAGTCAGTACAAAACCTCCAAGTATTGTCTTTCTTTCGGACCAACAACGTTGGTGATGAAAAAGGGGCTAGAGCTCCTTGGGATAACCCCTAAATATAACATTTCCATCACCTATTTTTCAATTTCTTGCTTTTGAAAGTAGAGATACTTATATAGTTTCACATTGACAGGGGAAGAGCCGATCAAGAGAGGTATTTGATGGTCTGTGGTGCGAGAAGGGGGAAGTTGATCTGGTGGCTCAAAATTTTAGCATAACAGTCCAAAAGGTCAGTGACATTAGCAGGGATGGATGGTTCGACAAGTGAAGGAGATTGCACAAGTTATACCTGAATATGATAATATTCAAAAATAGCATTAGTAGCTTGGAGTCTCTTAAGCTGTAGAGCTGAAATCTTATCCACCTTAGGTTTGGAAAACCCTTGTAACTGGATGATTTTGCCTTCTCTCACAAACTGCATAGTTAACTTATCATGATCGGTGGGTGTCGGGCCAAGGGATTTTAGCCATTGAACTCTGAGTACTACATCCGCACCTGTAATAGGTAGAACAAATAGGTCCAGCGTAAACTTATGAGAGTCCATATAGATTTCAACTCCTTTACAAACTGTAGAACACGCGATTCTTCACCATTACCAACTTGGACCTTGAACCCTTGAGCTGGAATGGGTTTTAGCCCCAAAAATTGAACTAAGTGTTCTTGGAGGAAGTTGTGTGTACTTCCACTATCCACAAGAACAGAGAGCTGAGATTTCCCAATGCGGCCTATTACTCGTAAAGTTTAGGGCACTGAATGACCTATTAAGGCATAAAGGCTAATTTGTGGCGGTGGAGAATTAGGTGGGTAATTAGTTTTAGGTCCCTGTGAATTCAAATGTTGCAACAAATCAGGAATGAAATCTTCCTCGAGTGTGGACTCATGTGCGATTAACAACATGAATGATTGCTTACAACGATGTGTTAGGGAATACGTATCATCACAATAATAACAAAGCTCCTTTTCGTGTCTCGTTTGCAGTTCTATAAGGGTCATCCTTTTTATCGCAGTAGCTTTGCTCACATTAGATGGGCTAGAGGATGAAATTGGGTGGAATTGGTGGATGAGGTGGGTGGAGAGGTTTTGTATAAAGTGTTAACAAAGGATATGGTTGATGGCTTATGTATGATAGTTTGTGTTTTGGAGGGGTAACTAGGATTCTTGCTATTAAGAAACTTTGATTCATATATTTTAGCTAATGCAATGACTTCAGTATGCGATGATGGTTGATGAGATTTAACCTCTTTTTGTATCTCTGATTGCAGTCCAAATATGAAGTAACTAAGGTAGAAATTGGGTGAAAGGTTAACAATGCAGTTTGGAAGAGCTTCAAACTCTTGCTAGTATTCTCGAACCATCGCAATTTGTGTGAGCTTGAACAAAGCCCTTGCTGGGTCTTCAAATTGAGATGGTGTGAACCGCAATTCAATCGCCTTTGACAATTCTTCCCACTTCATAACCATTGATACCAGCTTAGAGCTTCTCCATTCATATAGAAGCTTGCAATGCGTATGTGTTGAGCCTTTGGATTGTTGTGATACTAAAAGAATTAAGTGATTTTAAAAATTTACCCAAGTGGGTTTGAACCATCAAATCGAGGTACATCGAGTTTCATGGTGAAAAAGGGTTTTTCGGGGTTGTTTTGAGAGTGAAGGGAGCTCGTAATTGTTAGGGACTCAAGTTCGGTGAGTTTTGTGGCAATGGATTGATAATCTCATTGCAAGGCTAGGTGATTTTCAAGCAAACGGGAGAGTTGAGTCTCAATAGAATCTGAGGATGGGCGAGTGACCATGGTTACTCTCAATGAAAGCACGAATTTGCTATGATAAAAAATCCTTTTTCGAGGGAAGGGAACCTCCAAGCATAAAAATGCACAATCCTGAATATTCATTCCATGCGGTCCAAATAACACAGTCCCTTAATATATATATAAGATATACTCATTACGACAGTAACAACCCATAACAGAAAAGAAAGAGAAAAAGGAAAATGACAAAATAACATACGACTATACTAGGCAATATTCACATAATGAAATTATCAAAATGTTTGGGCCTAATACGCATTCTTTTAGAATGACGAGTCCTAATTGGAGTAGACAACATAATATCCTCCTCATCTCCACAGTCTTCCTCTTGGGCTAATTCCTTTTCCTCTATAATATCTTCCATAACATCTCCTTCCCTATTAACAAATGCCTTGTCCTCAAGGTGGAGAGAAGAAAACACGGTTATGAGTTCATGGAGATTCTCCCAAGTGGCATCCTCTGGATAAAGACCATCCTATTGTACAAGAACATGCCGTGGGGATTGGTTATCCACAGCCAAAATAGCAAGAGGCTGAATCATTGGTTGAGTTGCAGAAGTATTAGATGGAAGAGTCGACGGAGCAACATCACTAGTGCTATTGAAAGGTTTAAGTAGAGAAGCATGGAAAATAGGATAAAGTTTGGCATGAGCAGGAAGTGATAAACGGTAAGTAACTTCACTAATACATTCAACAATTTAAAAAGGGGCATAAAACCAGACAACTACTGTAAATGATGACCAGCTAATGAAGTTTGCTTAGTAGACTATGGTTATTAGCTGTAATCTTCATAGTTTCTTATGCCTCCAGCAACTTAGCTTTAAGTTTGGTGAGAATGACATCACGATTGTTGAGCTCAGAATCAATAGCAAATAGGTTAGAGCTACCAATACAATATTGAGGAATATTTGGTGGTGGTTTACCATACATAACCTCATAGGGGGAGATGCTAGAGGATGAGTGAAGGGAAGTATTATAGCACCACTCGGCCTAATGGAGGTATTTACTCCAAGGTATTTACTCCAAGTATGTGGCTGGTTGTAGATCAAAGCTCTTAGATACTTCTATATCATTTTGTTCAGAACTTTTGTTTACCTATCACTTTATGGATGGTAAGCCGTCACTTTGTACCCTAATATTTAACTCCAACAAGAATTAGGGTTTTTAATTTAAAATTCTATTTATTTTAAAATTTATTTTATTTATTATAATATTATATTATAATTTTTACATAAAATTATTTAATATATTACTATAAATTTTATGTATTTTAAATAAAACATTTTAATAGACATAATATACTTTTTTAAAAGTTTAAGTTTAGTCTAATTAATTAATTAAGCTTATAGAAAAACTTAAATTACACCAATTACTTAAATAAGTTAAGTTAGATTAAACTTTAAAAAGATTAAGTTGTAGGTTCTTGTTCAAAAATCTAATTTTTTTTCATCGTTAGTTAGAGAATAGAAGTACCAATATCTACCTTTTTAAGTTTTAGTCTCTAATTTATGTTTAAAAATGAAAAATAAAAACAAATATAACTAAAGAAAGTTTGTAAATTTGAATCCATATCACTCCCACGTTAAAGTATATTTATATGTATCAATTGATCATGTTTAGTTTAGTTATTAATGGATTTAAAATCAAGCACTCAAATTTGACTATGTGAAATTACTATTAACTTTTTTTTTTAATTTCTACAATTTGTTTACCCACTCAAACCACTCACCACACAATGACTTGAAATGTGAATGGAATATTACAAATTTGAATATTGTTGATTTATGGCCACCCCCGTTGTTACGAAAGGATCATTATTTTAAAAGCAAAATTCCCCTTAGAGGTTTTCTTGCCAAATTAGGAATCAATTACTAAAATATGACATATGTTAGCTTGCAAGTAATATCGCTTCTTATAAGAATAATATTATTTTACTGTGTAACACATGCTAAACTATTATCGTGTATTCAGATGTATTATTAAGCATGAGACTATTTTTCCCCCCTTAAATATACTTTAAAAATGTTTTGTTATAATAGTTAATTCCTAATTTGACTCTGAAAAAAAATTGTCTCTTCCAAACATTTGATGTTGAAATTAATTTTTAAAAAATTACCACAAGTGTCTAAATTTCTTTATAATTAACGTACAAATATGTGTGGTTTTTTTTTTCTTGTCATTCTCTAATACTTTTTTAAGTGACTTCATCGATTTTTGGGCCATTGAATTTCTTTTCATTCTCCAATAAATTTTTCTCGTCATCCTCGAAAAATTACGTATCTAAATTTCTTTATAACCCACAGACTTATCTGTGTAATGTTTTCCTAAGTTAGGTTGACGGCCCAAAATTTTTTCGTGGATGTCACGGCGTGTCAGGTTTGGATTTAATTATTTAAAAAATTTTATGTGTGAAATTAGGTAAAATAATAAAGAAATAAGGTAAATAATATAAAATTAAGACTTCTAAATCTTTCTTATTTTTAATCTGAACTTATTAAAAATAAAACATAATATTTACACATAATTAATTTCATATCAAGTGAAATATTATAAATTTTAATAAATTTATCTTTATAAAATTACTTAAATAAACATAAAATTTCATAAATAACATACAATACATAGTTAATAGAATATGTAGACTCACATATTAAAATATATCTAACAATTTTTGAATAAAAAATTATTATTTATGAATTTTTTATTATATGCCTTTAAACTTATAATAAAAGAATCATAAACAAAATTAGGTGTTAAAATGTAACAGGGTGTTGGATTTCTTCTTCTTTTATTAGTTACTGATATTCAACGTCTGTGTTCCATTGCTCTTCTCTCTCTCTCTCTCTCTCTCTCTCTCTCTCTCTCTCTCTCTCTCTTGGTGGCATGGCACGTCCTTCCTTGGTCTACTACTGCTCTGAGCGTGGTGTTTCAGGCTCTTTCAGGAGTTTCTTCTTCTTCATCCCCACAACTTTAGCTCTTTTCACCTCTCTCTTCATTCTCTTTTACATTTACTCTACTTCCAATCTCTTCACTCATCACCACCACCAATTCATTTCACTCTCTTCCTTTTCCACTTTCCCCCCTTCTTCCACTCCCCTCTTCCACAACTCTGCTTCTCAGTCCACACAGTCTCACACTTTCCATCTGGGTCAGAGCCCAATACCACAAAGTCAACGCACTCTTCCACTGCCATCACAATTCAGCTTAAAGGGTACGCTAAAGTTTCAATTTTTGTTTCTCTTTTCTGTTAGTATGCTTCTGGGTAGTGTTTTTAATGTGGCTGTCACATTGTCAAATAATTAGACTCACTCATTCATTCATTTTTATTGGTGCAACCGTTGTATGGGGACAATTTGAGTATGTTAATGTAAGATCATCAAACCTGTGAGGATTTTATGAGCGGTCTATAAGAGGGAATATGAACATGTGCGATTCTAATATAGAAAGTTTCAAAATTATGTTATCAGTTTATTAAAGATAAAATAATCCGGAATTTCAGAAAAATGAATACTATATGTATCAAACATGTTAAGTACCAGACCTTCTTTGTATAGAAAATGGCTCACGTTAATGAAACACTGTGAAGAATGATTGTAAAATATATCTCTTCTAGACTCAAATAAAACTTGCGAGATGGTATCAGCTTCTGCTCTCGCATGTTCTGTTTTGGATTTTACACAATAAAAGAATATTTCTGACTTTCTGCATTCTGTTTTGCAGCACTATGGTTTGGTTTTAATATAGTAGCATATCGTGACATTTCCATTATTTTTGCAATTAATGATGATATTATTCTATTAATCTTAACTATATTATGTGCTTTAAGCAAAATGATTAGCCTCATTTTTAAATTTTAATTTTCAAGGGGCTACCACATTGATTAACTTCAGATGCTTCATGGTAAAACATACTTTGGGTTAGTGGGTTCAGTAGCTAGGCTGATGAAGATACAATCAATGTGTGTAAACTTTTTTTTCTTAACCCCTGTGTCCGGGGAATGCTATTTTTCTTTATGGTTCAGGAGAAATTGAGAATAAGAGCGGCGTGTTCCATGATAGAGATATCTTTCTGGAAGACTATAAAGAAATGAATAGGAGCTTAAAGATATATGTTTATCCTCACAGGGAAGATGATCCTTTTGCAAACGTGCTTTTGCCCGTGGAGTCTGAACCTGGTGGCAATTATGCCAGTGAAAGTTACTTTAAAAATGTACTCATGAAGAGCCATTTCATTACAAAAGACCCAACAGAAGCAGATCTTTTCTTTCTGCCTTTTTCCATAGCAAGATTGCGGCATGACCGAAGAGTTGGTGTAGGAGGTATACAAGACTTCATTAGAGACTACATGCAGAATATCAGTCACAAGTATCCATATTGGAACCGCACAGGTGGTGCTGATCACTTTTATGTTGCTTGTCATTCAATTGGAAGGTCTGCCATGGACAAAGCGCCTGATGTGAGATTCAATGCCATTCAGGTTGTATGCTCATCTAGTTATTTCCTAACTGGGTATATTGCTCATAAGGATACATGCCTTCCACAAATTTGGCCAAGAAAAGGAGCTACCCCTAACCTTGTTTCGTCAAAGAGGTAACATTTCTTCCTTGAGCTAGTTAGCATTATTCTGAGTTGTGCATGCTCTAGAATGCAAGTTCTAATCCTATCACATCATTTACTTTGTCAACTAAATAAGTTATGGAGTGTGGACTATATTAGTACATAGTCAAATTAACTAGATCTGTTTTTGTAAATGTTGTGTTAACTATAACTATTAAAGTGACTAGTAAAATTAAAATTATAAATTGGCTATGTATAGTGAATGACCTACAAGCATATATGATATGCCAACAAAATTAGTTATGCTGAAGATTGTACTCTTAAAGTGGAACCTAGAAAAATAGATCCTTGTGTTTTTGTTTAATCTAAAATCAGTTAAATTTTTGGACAGAATGCAATGGCATTGTTTGATTCCTGTAGGTTGTAACCCACCCTACCTAGCGGCTGAAGACTTTGATTGTTGATTTGTTATTGTTGTATCAGTAAATGTAATTGAAGGCAATAAGAAGATGATTTCTCAAACATTCCATTATGTTTTTCAATTAAAGGAATCTTTTCTTGTTGGCGCAATTGCATGGAGAGGATAAGGGAAAAGAAAATATTATTTGTTAAAGCTGATTTCTAAAAGCCAAAATAGATTAGATGTCTAGATGAAGAAGCATTACAATAATGTTTATAATGATATCAAGTCAAACTCATTTTGCTGCACAGGAAAAAGTTAGCATTCTTTGCTGGAGCAGTTAATTCGCCAATACGTGTAAAGCTTCTTGAGACATGGAAAAATGACTCAGAAATCTTTGTTCACCATGGACGGCTCAAAACACCATACGCAGACGAGCTGCTAGGAAGCAAGTTTTGCCTTCATGTTAAAGGCTTTGAAGTGAACACAGCTCGTGTAGGAGATTCTTTATACTATGGTTGTGTTCCAGTGATCATTGCCAATTACTATGACCTTCCATTTGCTGATGTGTTGAACTGGAAGAGCTTTTCGGTTGTTGTCAATAGCTTAGATATACCTTTATTGAAAAAGATCCTGAAAGGTATCATCAGTTCTAATGAATATTTGATGTTACAAAGCAATGTTTTGAAGGTGAGGCAACACTTCCAATGGCATTCACCACCCCTTGACTTTGATGCATTTTACATGGTTATGTATGAATTATGGCTTAGAAGAAGTACTATAAAAATTGCTTTGGGTGACTCCATGAACGGTAGATTTATGTGAGTAGTTGTGGTGTTATTTCTCTGTAGTAGTGTCATTTAAGAACCAGTTCTTTACATTATTTGTAATTTTAATGCCAAAGTGGTTCACATGGGAAATAAAGTATTATTTTGTTTAGTTTGTTATGAAAACTTTGGACCATTGAATAACTTAAAATTATGAAGGGTTTTATATCATCCGAATCTAATTATCTGGTTGGTGTTTTCAAAATCTGAGTATTACAACGTTTTTAGCACACGAATAAGTATAATAACTGTTTGCTAGCTTTTTTCTTTTGGCGTTTGTCAGGCTTAAGAGATAATCTAGTGAAAATTAAATTAAATTTAATAATAATGCAGAAAAAAAGAAAGATGAGTGCCTTTGTAGGTAAGTGAGGATAATTGCATTTATTTTGGTGCAATGGTGGAAATGTGATCAGAAACTATGACCTCACCCAAATTGCTTAAATTTTTTATTATTGTAAAGCATTCCAACTTACGTACCAAAAAGAAGCTTTCAAACTTATAAAACATCTCAATTCATAATTCTTCTTTGTTTTTTATACACAAAGTAGTATTTATATTAAATGAAGTATGTTAATTTAGTAATCTAACATTTCAGTTAGATATATACATCCTATTCACACAAAATAGAACTAGAGATCTGCATTAGTCTAAGAATTCAACATGATAAATCATCCGAACATCTAATTTTAGCATAGAATCAAAGACATCAATAGCATATTTTAACTGCTAAATGCAACTATAAACTCCAATTGTTCTCATAATTTAGCCATCAAGTGAAATAAAATTGTAACTAAAATTTCTTGCAAATTTTTACCGTAATTGTACACTGTTACAGACATAAACCTCAACATGTGTTGAAATCTTTATTTATTTATTTTTGTGTGTGTAGTTGGCATAAGTTAAGCTATATCATTGCTGCACTAACATCAAGTAAGCTTAATTGAGTTCAAACGAAACAACCATCACCCATGCTTGAACCTTGACGATATTCTATTAACTGTATACATACATATGAATTACTAATTTAAAATACTATATTAGATTAAGGGCTATATTTTCTCATTATTTCTCTCCCTTTCTTTCTTTCGTGTGAAGTAGTGATCAAGTCCGAGAAGGATTCCAAAAACTTTAACACACGTAAAGAGCTACAAATACAATTTACAAGAAAAAAAAAGTAAAAAATAAGTAAATTTGTTTGTGGTTTCCTACTTTCCATACCTTAAATCTGGGTCAAAATCTTAAATCAAAGTCAATAATACCATTGATTGTCCTTCGTTTCTAAAGAGTAGAAGAATATCAACCGACAAAAGTACTACTCTAAGAAATGTACCAAGTATACATGACACTAGTATAATCTCAATTCAATAGCCTCTTAAACATTTCATTCCGAGTACGAAGTACAATAGCTTTAAGCTTTTAAGTTAGGTGTGGTATCCAAGTTTGCATGTATGATTTGCTTGTGGACCAATGATGGAAAAGTTCTTGGTGTTTTAAGCTCATCGTCTGTTGTAATAGTGGTATTAGAGTCAAAAGTTCATTTATGTGACTACTTACAAGGATATTCAAATATGGTAGTGGATCTATGTAAACGAATCCTTGTATCAAAAATCTTCTCGATGATGTAGATGTTAGACAACATGTCCCATTGATGAGAGTTAATGATAGTAAATGATAGAGAGTTTGTTGAGAAAGTTTGAGTGAAGAATTTTTACATTGAATAAGAATGAAAAAGTTAAACAACATATAATTAAAAAAGACTTACAACTCAATAGCCTTAAAGTTTTGGGTTGAGTGTAGTATTGAAGTATATTTATATAGTTTGTTCTTTAACCATTGACAGAGATATCATTAATGTTTTAAGTCCCTTCATTTGTCTCAACATATCATACTAAGGAAAAATATTAGAAAGATAATACATTAAGGAAAACATACCTTAAAGACTTTGTTATAGCTATTCTAGAAACACTATTTTTCTTCTCCATGGATTTAGTTCATAATCTACATTTTGGATAATAATAAAATATTTTAAAAGATACTTGTGTTGCAACTGAAAAGAAAATTAAATTTAGGAGTTTTAAAACTTGAATATGGAAATGAATTTGAATTTTTAAGTTCAAGAAACTATAATTTATAAATACTAGTTTTAAATGGCTAAAATTTTGGTGAAAAAGGAAGATTACAAATTTTTTTTTATGAAGATAATTAAAATATAGAATGAAAAAGAGATGATATTAAATAAAAAAAGAACAATTGAAGAGTTTATAAGCATGAAGGAAAGATGATGGAGTAAGTTTAAAAAATTCATGTTGTTCAATCAAAGAAAGACTCAACTAAGAAAAGAATATTGCATAAAGATACTAAAGATTGAAAAATACATGGATTATTTGTGAAGGAAAAGTTTGTTGAATGAGGTCTCACTCTCCTAAAAATGAACTTTAAAATAAATAGTTTAAAAGTAAAAGAAATGGAGAGATTAAACATATTTTTAAAAAATTTTCTAGAGTTTTCGAAAGCAACTCTTTTAGAGTGTGTAAAAGAGTATCTAAAAATTGATATTTTCCTTACAACATTTAAATAATAGAATTTAGAAATTTTCTTTGCTTAAAATAAATGATAATGATAGCCTTTTTGTATATGGTTAAACAAAAAAAAAAACACAACTTAAGCTTGATAAAACAATAGCAATATAATGATCTAAATGTCTTTGACGTAATAGGCTGACGCAATTTAGATTAGACAAGTTATCTTAAAGTCTCATATGAGTTTGTGATAGTTATTTCTATTCTTTGTAAAGTTTTAACAATCGACTTCTACTTTATCTTTAGTTTTTCTTTTTTCTATCTTTATATATTTTTTTTAATTTCTTGTTTATAAGTTCTTCTATTGCTTTATTCATTTTTCCTTTGCTCTTTTCTTCTTTGATTCTCATTCCCTTTTCTTGGTTGTGTCCATTTTCTTTATTTTTCTTAATACTTTTCCCCATTTTTAATTTGCTTATAGGTTCAACTTATAAGTCAAAGGAAAAATTTATATTCCACCTAGAGGCTAAACTTCACTACAACATAAAAGAAATTAGAGAATAGTTCCACATTATTTTAGAGAGCAATTTAAACCACTTTAATAAGCATTGCTATCCAAAGTAGATATTATTACTTAGAAAGAGATTATATAACCGTTCTTCAAAGTATGAGTATGAACTCACGAATTTGAAATTTGAAATTTATTTCTTTATGAAATTTCTATTACAAAACCAAATTAATTTATTGTTACGTTTAAATTTGAATTTGTATGTCTAATATTAAAAAATTCTTCATTTTATTACAAATCTAAATTGATTCTATATCTTATGCATTGACACTTGAGTTTATATGTTGTGCTAACCAAATAGTCAATATCTGCATGAACTAAACACTAGTAAGCAGAGAAAAAATAAAATTAGTAGGATGATTCACTGTTAATAGAGAGAAAAAGAAAGAAAGAGAGAATAAAGATAACTATAAAAAAGGTACCTACTGATGTGAAAGAGATTAACTTTGTTAGTGCAAAGAAAATGAAGAAGACAAAGAGACTTACAATGAAAGAAACCAACTTTGTTAGAGTAGATAAGATAAATAGATTCATAAGGTGTGAATTAAACGTGCTTCATTTATAGAATAGAAATTGCAAAACATTTTAAAATTTTGATTTGTGAGAAAAAAGACTTTAGATAACGATTCTCTATTAACTGCTCTCCAAACTCCAAGAATAACTTTTGAGCATTGTTAATACATAATTGTTCTCTAAAATCACACTTTAGAGAATAGTTAATAAAGAAACACTCTTGTAAGTATAAATTAGAGAGCATTCAACACTAATTACTTTTGAAGTGTATTATTACATAACAGTTTCTACTAATCGCTATCCAAGTTAGTACTCCAAAAACTAATTTATAGTGTAATGCTTCTTTTGATCATGTTTCAATTTCCAAGTAAAAAGTTATGTTTATTTCTGGTTCCAAATTACATAATTGAATAATTTTTACTTCTTGGAGCCAAATTTGATTCCTAATAGGTTGCTTCTTTTTTATTTTTATTAAGAAAAATTCTTATTTTTTAAGGAATAATTTGGTAATATATATATATATATATATATATATATATATATATATATATTAACAAGACTAGATCAGACAATACAATAAAAAAAACTAAAATCATTTAAACAAAAATTGATATTCATGATACTTAAAAATAAAAGTGATAAAACTTTCAAGTATGAAACTTTTTGAGATGAGAATGAGGACGGTAGAACAATAGTAATAATAGGAATTAGAAGGGTAAAAGGCTCTAATTTTTTTTACATTTTGTAAGAATGCTTTAACCTATTGGAGTAAAACTATATTTTTAAAGTTAGATACATAAATTGCAAGACTAAAGCATAAGTTAGGTCCTGTAGAATGGCTCAAAGAGATGTTTATCACTTTGAAGAAATTGTGAATATTAAAAATATTAAGGAGTTGTGGAAATAGGATGAGTTAAATTGGGATAAATATCTAGGTTAAAATTGTAACGCCCCAAATTTTGGTAATATTAATTATTATATATATATATATATATATATATATATATTCATATATGTGTTGATTTATTTGATAATGATGTTAATGTGTATTAAGTACGTAGATGTGTGTATTTATGTGTATGCATGACTGGATAGGCTGAAAATAAGCTAAGTGCATAAGTGCAGGGTGTAATACTAGGCTATTTTCGCTATAGTGAGAGGATTCTCGCTGTAGCGAGAGAGCGACAATTTAGGGTGCATTTCTGGGTGCAGTCTCGCTGTAGCAAGATTCTGCAGAAATCAGGATGCAATTTTATTTGAGATTTTCGCTGTGGCGACAGAGGGTGTCGCTGTAGCAAGAGATGCCTTGCTGCAGCGAGAATTTCTCGCTATAGCGAGAGTGTCGCAATCTGAGAGGTTTTAAAAAAGGGTTTAAGGATTTGAGATTCATTTCTCAAA